TATAAGAAAAATCCATGAATGTAATGCACTCCACTATTGTCATGTATGTAAGAAATAAATAAAAAAAAGAAAAAAGAAAAATCCACAATTCCAAGACAGTCAATGGCCCCTGTATACACAAAATATTCTATGTAATGGAGTATTCTGCAAGTAATCTGGATCATCCATTTGTAGTCAGCACATGATAAATCAGGGGTCATTGATTCTATAATATTTTCATTTTAATAAGTCTCTTCACTTCTAGTTGAGTAAATAATATTTGTCAATAAAAGTAAGACAAATAAAGATTTCTGAATTTATATAAATTATTTATATAATCTATACTCAATAGATTTAGGATTGATGAATTCTCCAGTAAGAAATGTTTATTGGAGCTGATTAGTTGGAATCATGGCCATCCAAAAAGCTAAAGTAGCTCTAACCCAGAATTGAAATGTAAGCCCATCATTGGTATCCATGTGTAGGAATACAATTGAACCTAATAATTATTTCTCCATTCTCAGGATTAGATCAATGAAATTCATTGATTCTAACTTTTCCCAACAAAGAAGCATATCCATAGTAAAGATGACTGGTGTACAATATTTACTTAGGATTAACATCAAAATTCATTTTTAATATTTCTTGAACATATTTTAAAATATGCTTTAAATATAGGTATTAGGCTTCAAAAACAAACAAACAGAAATCCAAATAATCCTTTGTAGTAATATAAATCCATGTCTTTTTGTTTTATCCTCAGTGAAATCATTACATCTCATGCCTACAACTCCCTCTTCTTCCTACTATTGACTCAGTCACCTGGTTCAGAAATAGGGAAGTCACCCTAGCTATTACTTCTCTTTCATACAATTCCTCATTCTGCCCAATTGCTAGTGTTTATCATCTCTATATCTAACTCCACTCAGAAGCTGTTTCCTGATCAGGACTCTGTCTATATTACTGCCACTGCTATTCTAATCAGACCCTCTCTTTCTCTTTCCAAGATTATTGCAGTATTTCACAAGTCTTCTCTAAGCTACATGCCCCCATGGACTTCCCCTCTTTCAAAATGCTTTCCTGGTTGACTTACTTCTTTTGTAAAATCCTCCAGAACCTTAAAATCCTTGACCTACATGGTAGATTCCAGACTTCCTAGGATGACATATAAAATGTCTTCATTGTTGACCTCTATCTAAATCACAGTTACATCCCTTGTTACCCTCCTACCTATTCCTTAAGATTAATAATCTAAAGACTAGGGAAGTAGCTCAGTGGTGAGGCCCTCAGTTCAATTCCCAGCACTTCAAAAACAAAGAATATCTGTGTGGAATCTTCTGTCTGTTCTCTTCCACCTTCCAGAATTGGAGGCAACTATATTCTCCTTTTGTATCCATGGAAATTGGTAATACCCTAGATGCAACTACTCACAACTCTATCAATACTGTCACAGAGTATTTTCAATGGCCAATTACCTTTGTCCTATGAAACAGGAGTGGCAGATGAATTTTGTTTCTATTGTGTGTTCATTGTAATTAATGTTTAGAGATTTCCTAGAATCACTGTTGAGAAAGAATTGTTGAAAAACGTATGTGAGCTTCATCCATGTAACGTCTACTACTAGAAGTAGGGGGGCAAAGAATGGTGTTTGAACAAGCTATTTGTCAACCTTGCACTGGACTGGGAGTCCTTGAAGGTAAAGAAATGTGTTCTTTTTTTTTTTTTTTCATTTCAATACCTAGCACAGTGTCTGACTTAAAAGTGTATTGAAAACAGCAACAGCAAGAACAGCCCATTATAGTCAGCAAGTCCACATTCAGGAATTTATACTCATTCTTTTCTAGTCCTATGAAGTTAAGCATGCAGTACTTTAATATAACTTGTATGACTCAGTTTTCAAGAGGAGATATTAATGTGGGTAGAGAGGCAAGGGACTGAGTCAGAGTGATACCTAAGGCATTTGAAATACAACAATTATTCTCAGGGGTATATAAAAGTTTCCTTGGACAATTATTTGACCCTGCTTAAGCTCAATTTCCTCATCAAAAACAAAGGGATAATGAAATCTGCCTTGCAAAGTTGTTATACGGAATAGAAATAAAAAGCATCATTACATAGTGGGCCCTCCATAAATGATAACTATTAGTTTGTGCTATTTTGGTTCACAGCAAATTTCCATGGGGAGAAACACACTTTTTAGAATCCAAGGAGATAATTTTAGTCCCCTTTAAAAAGGCATTTTTCTGCTCAGTTATGCGGGTTGTTTTTTTCATAACATAGAATCAGTGAATATCAATTATATTTATTATGCCTTTATTTTGCGATTGCCCTAGCCCTGATCTCATATTGCACAGCAGCCTCAAGGATGTTTATTATTATTACTTTCAAGAGTCAATGAATAATTGATATCAATGAAACACTTTGCTTTTGTGAGCTATTTTTCATCTATGGATTTTGTAGGGTTAATCTGTTTAGCTCTTCTTGCATTTCACATTAAAGCTCAAATTGAAAAGCTCCAAAGGAATTTTAAAACATTGCAAGAATTTTCCAGAATTATTCAAAGGATTCTTTGAATCTTGTGTTATCAAGAATGTCTTTATGATGTTTCTGGCTAAACAGAAACATCATTACAGAAACATCATTATGTTTTGTGACCAAACAACTTGGGAACATTTACAAATGTACATAAAAGAGTTTAGGAGTTAACTTGAACAGGATAGAATAAAAAAAAAAAACTAGTAGTAATCAAAACTACACAGTAGAACCTGGTACATGCCATGCAGCCACTGTCATCTACTAGGTTCTAATTTGAATTCTCACTTAATTTTATCCTATTAGATGGGTATTATAATCTTTTAATGAGAAACTACAAGGTTACAAAAATTAAGTCACAAATGTCTCACACCATGTTATAGAAAAAGAGATAAGAAGATGGTGCCAGGATTTAAATGCTAATATTAAAATCAACAGTGAACATGGCAACTACCACCATCATTTGATGCCTAACATGTCTCATAAACTCCACAAATCCATAGATTCTTGGGTGACAGCGCCAAGATTGAAACTGACATTCCTCTGATTTTAAAGCTGACATTTCTCATAACATTCACTTTCCTACACAAGTAGATGAGTTTGAAATTCTGAAGCCCCTTTACCATTCAGGGCTAAGCCTTCATATGGAAGGACTTTCCAGCTTCCCCCAGGCGGTGTCTGAGACATTCCAGGGTTGCCTCTGCAGCACCATCTGTATTTTTCTTTTCCATAGAGATATTGGATGATCTTTATGCCACATCAGGGAAAATGCAAGCAAACCTTTTGAGGTTGTGTTTTGATTTATGCAAATAAACAAGTACAATGCCAGACAATCCGACATAGACAGAGGCTTGTAATTAATGAAGCCACAGACTCAAAATTTGTTTCACAATGGACACAACTCAAAAAACATTGTCATCCCGTAATCATGTCTGAACAAGAAGTAGATGAATCATAGCTTTACAAAATCAATGCCCTCTCGAGTTAATGAGAGTCTACAATATTGTCATTATTTCTATGACTTTTATCATTAGGTACTTAAGAAGTACTTTCTTAGTAGTTTCCTATATCGTCCCTATCCCACCACCAAAAAAAAAATCCTTCAATAGATTTGCTTTTATTAATTTCCATCCTAAATATTAGGAAAACACAGACCCACTGCTGATTTGGACCAAATATCTTTTCTCTGTTAAAAATGCTTTTCTTCTAAGTGACAAAGAGATAATAAACAGGGACAAATGACATCAAAGTATTGCCACACGGATGGGCAAGTCATGGAGAAAGCTTTTCTGTATTGGGAGAGATGACCTCAAGAGCAAGTGCTATAGATCAGAGACTATGACTGAGAAATTATGTACTCATGAGGTAATCAGTAGTAAGTTAAGTAACTGTGCATCTAATAGAAGCAGCTGCTTTGTGATTCAGCAATCTGAAAATCAATGAGCCTTGTGTGGAAATGTTCCATAAACAAGAGCAAAAGTCTGAGTAAATGTAAACAGTATAATGCAACTTCCCTAAAATTGTGACCACCTTTCCCAGCTTCCAGTTCCTTCCACAGTTCTTTTGAAAGGGCTGTGATGATCTAACTGGATATCTTTTTGCCAAAATACAAGTTTTATTTCTTCTCTTTCACTTTTAAATGTCCAGGTCAAAAGTAGACTTTCAGGAGAAGATTCTAAAAAATAATAATGTACTACCTGTTTCCTTAAATATGTAATGAACCTAACAATAACACATTTTGGGCTCCAAAAATAACAACATCAATAGCAATGGAAAATAGCTTTCTTATTTCCTTAGCCCTTGTGGTCTTAATGGAGAAATAAAGGTTCATTATTTGATATAAGGTCTCAGACTTTCTTGTGTTAATATTATTTCCTCTATATTAATCTCCACAAAGATCACATGCTGAGGTTTTTCTTTTTTAATGGTAAACAGCACACTGTGTTTACCATGAACACATTTAAAGCAAGCAAAAGATCTTTTGCAACAGACAAAGCAATAATCACTACATTGTCAGCCTCCCATTCCTAAAGCCATGGATCTATCTTCCATTTCAGAAAAAGGTAAAATTTACTATGTGTTGGGAAGGGAAATCAAATCATAAAATAAATATTTTCCTTTTGTTCTTTTCCAAATTTTATCCAGTATCCATTGTTACTAAGATCAAAATCAACTAGAAAGAATTCATCACCTCTCATGGCCATTTTAAGAATCAGATTAGCAGACCCATTAGGCACTAGTTAAACTGCTATCCAACTAAAGCAGGCTATGATTACTAAGTACTGAGATATATTTCATGAAAATTTATCCATGTAACTAGCTGTATGCATTGGGTGAGATTATGATACCATATTATGTAATTCAAGTGGTTACCAAATGCTTCTGTTCACCATTGTGAATCTGGTTTATATCCAACCAAAGATTTCAAAGTAGTTTAGTCAGGGCAAGGTCCACAGAAATTGGTATTGGTAATACAGAGGCTATCTGAGGAAAGGACAAGTACCTCATCCATCTCTGCTGCAATCTGCAGGACTCAGAGAAAAAGTCTAATTGGAGGCCTACCCAACACTTGTCTAACTATTCATGAGATATATAATTACAACTATTCATAATTCTAGTATTCAGTGTCCATCTATTTGTCAGGGTTCAGGACTAACACATAATTAAAATATTGTATGTTTCTCACAGATATTAATAACAGAACTTACAGCAAAGATGGAATGTTCTGAGACTGTGTCATCTACTACCATTGCTGCTCACCATATGCAGTTATTGAGCACCTGAAATATGGCTAGTTCAATCAAGGAGGTAAATTTTAATGTTCCTTATTTTTAATTAATTCTAATATCCACTTATATCAGACAGTGAGATCCAGACCTATGATAACGATCCTCAGCCTCATACAGTATTGTCCATGTTGTACTAATTTATGAGAATCTCTGAAAACATGCTTCAGAACAAGAAGATAAGCAGAAAAAGTGGATATTCATTATTTCTGGGAAAGTTATTTCATTATGCGAGATATTTTGCATTTTTACTGGCAGAAGAAGACTTGACACAACCATTGATTTTTTTTTCTTTTAACTATGAAAGTGCTCCTCCTATTGCTCAAACTCTTCCCACTGCTTCTGTTCCAGATGAAGTGGGGTCCATCTGGAACAGAAGCAGCAGCCTGACACACAGACATTCACTGCATTTAGAATCAGTCACTTTTATGGGAAGAAGATGGGGAAAAGCCTTATGCTGGGGGCCTGCATGGTACCAAATGAGATTAACTGCTTGGGATTAGCTCTAGATCCAAAGTAACAGATGTGCCCTTGTACCTCTGAATAATGGGGAGCAAGAGAGAGAGAGAGAGAGAGAGAGAAAGAGAAACACAGAGAATCATAAGAGGCCTTTCTAAAATGTGGGACTTCTAGTGGGTCCTTTTTGCCTAAGTAGTACTGGCAGAGGTCCCATGCAGGAAAAGAAAAGAAAAGAAAAGAAAATTTTGGCTTAATAATTATATGTCGTATAAAATTAGCTTAGGAAGATATTACTTATTCATAACAAAATGGGAAAAAATTTGAGTTTTACAGACACATGACAATATTATCAATGTAAAAAGCAGCAGGTAAGTACTAGTTTTTACTCTTTCCCACCTCACAAATAATGCCACATCCATTCTCGTGGCTGATACAATCAGTATAAATCCTGTCCTGTATGTGTTTGTGTATAAGCATGATTTGAAAAGAAAATACCATATAGTTTACATAAATATCAATAAAAAGAGAAGAAATGGAAGGAAAATAGGGCAAGCCATCAATTAGAAATTTAGGACGTCAAATCATAGAACCAAAACATCCCGCTAAACTCTAGTGTTGATCACTCTCTTTGGTCCTCTCAGAGGTACTCAACTGTGTTAAGTAGAGGTAAGTATTTGTAAGTGGTTTCTTTGGTCAGTGTTGCCACATATGAATGTAACCAAATTTCCCAATTTCTGTTCAGTTTTTATTCTCATATCCTGAATTCTCACATTGTGTGGAAAGTTCAAACTGGTCTGATCTATTGTTGACAACCCTTAAAATGTCCTCAGCCCTGCTTCAGAAGGATCCCAATCTGTATTCAGAGAGGAAGTACACAGCAGGTGGAGTCATCATGTCCTTCAGTGAGGGAAGCCCACAGTGTAGTCTTCAGAAAGGAGAAACTCACACGGAAGATCCCAGAAACCTGCCTAAAGCCATGTAATGCATAAGTGGCAGAATTAGGATTGCATCCCACTCTGGATTCAGAGCCTCTGATCTTACTCTCTGTTCTAAATCACTTCCTAGCAAGATAAGTGTCAAATACTTTGTGGAAGATAGAAGGGAGGACTGGAGGAAATAAAGGCAGGGAGGGAAGGAAATCCATAAATGAATAATGTTTTTATATATTTCTAACATACATCATTTCACACTCCAAGACATGAACCTTATTCCTTTTCTAATTTAATTTTTAAGAATTTCAAATGAGGGCTGGGGGTGTAGCTATGTGGTACAGTGTGTGCTTAGTATGTGTGAAGCCCTGAGTTCAAACCCAGCATCACAAAAAGAAAGAATTGCAAATGAAAAAGAATGAGATCGTCTCAATCTTCTGTAACAAGATTTAACATAGAGGCCCTGAGATTGCTGTCTTTAGAAGTTTCCTGCTTGCAAACATGGCTGATGGCTAGCATCTGGGAACTTGACTGATAAACATTACTCTACACTGTCATAAACTTTCTTTACATGATAAAAGCATCTCACTGTACCTAAATTATAAGTGCAAACAATGTGACTGCTTTCCTTCTGGAATTTGACATCTTGGAATATGGTAGTCAGAGAGTGCCTTTATGAACAGTCCCCCCAAAATATTGGATGCTGCATCTTGACTATGCTTCAGTAGTAGACAACACGTCACACATTGTCACAAGAATTAAGTGTATCTGCCAATTAGAGGACTCTTGGAAGCTCACACCTGGTTTCCACCATGTGGGGCCGAAAACTAGGAAGGCACCTGGCTAAATGCCAGTAGGAGGACACTGAAGTTGTTTTGAAACCTCCCTGATTGGCTTACTTCTCTTCCATGCTCCTGCACAGCTCGTGCTCTTTAATTCTTCCTGCTGAGCTGACTTGACCTTTAAGTTGATTGGTTCCTGTTTTCCTGTGTTTTAAAATGATTGACTTTTACTTCTTATATAAGTTGTGTGTGCTTCCTCAATACATGAGATCCTGCTTTGACTGGTCTCCCCCGTGTGTCTGATTGTCCTCCGGTGGGGAAGGCTGGGTGGGTGGCTGGCCTATCCTCACCTTTCTTGATCCATCCTGGTTGGGGTGTGCTCTCCTAAGCCTCTCTGCAGGATGGAGTGGATAGAAGAAGCTAAAAACCCCTACACCACCACACTTTGCCAATTGACCAATATCCTTCATAACTTGCTTTGTATCCTTTCATTATAATGAATCCTACCCATACATACAACTGGATGCTGAATTCTAAGGGTCTTTTTAGCAAATCTCCAAACACAGAAATGATCGTGATGGTCTCCAGCACAAACCTCTTTGAGATGGGAGAGGTTATAAAGCAGGAGAAAAAAATTTAAAAAAAAAATACAATGGCCAAAATGTTCAAGCATCACTGCTACAAAAAGCAATTCTTCCATTGGAATAAACAGAAGGATTGAATTTAGAGATAAAACTGTATTCAAAGCTCAACTTTGTCAATTTTGAGGTAAACCATCTTATGCAAATAACTAAATATCTCAGTGCTTTGTTTTTTATCTGTAAACATGAGAATGATGCTACTTCTCAGAATTATTGTGAAGATTAGTTGGAACAACATATGTAAATGACCCTAGATCAGCTGCTACCATAAATAATCACTCAAAAGTAAGCAATTATTAATTCTAGGACCCTGAAACTATTCAACATAGCATATCTATACTAAAGGACTTGATAATTCATTTAATTTGTTTAAATATGAAATATTTCTATCAGTTTAACCAACCACATCTACTCCCAACACACATACATATTGGTGTGATTTAAAAACAAATATGTAAAAAGGAACAAACAAATGCAGATATTTTTCTGTGAGTCCACATAATTATAAGCCAAATAACAACCAACAAACCTGGTAGCTTTTGCACAGGTGCCAGCTACAAGGCTTTCACAAAATGAGACTTTAGTATTTTATTAATCATAAGACAGCACTAAATTTACTTCCCACCTGACAGTTTTAAACATGCAGTCAAATGGTGAGTTAATTAAGTGATAGTGTCCACGTTACTCAGGAAGATGAAGCAATAAATGGCTTCTGTGGCAGATTAAATGCCAGAATAAAATTGAGGTGTCTTTGATAAACCACTGGAGAGGTGGCTGCTATTCCCTGCTTTCCTAGAATCTGGACTGCAGCCCCAGAGACAGTAAACACCTGCAGATCCAGCAAGTACTGAAGCACTTTTCAAGAAGTGGAATATTCAACTTGAAAGGCACTGGCAGGATTTTCCAATCAGGCTGAATGCCCTACATTTTGATGACCATCAGACTCAGATATGAACATTCCAAAAGATGTTCTTCATCTGAAAAATCAAAGGATTTGGATGAGAGGGGTCATATTTCAGATTCATTTATGGATTGGGCAGGCATCTCAGACTCTTCAGAAATAAAGAAGAGGCTGAGCAAGAAGACTCTAATCTGTCCACAGCCCCAAACTCTACCAGCACCTTTACTCCTTCTCATTTAGATGACTTTTCCCAACAAGAAGGAAAGGATGGAAAGGAAAGAGGGAGGAAGGGAAGGAGGGAAGGAGACAGAGAGAAAGAAATATTGAAATACTCTATTATTTACATTTGCCTGAGTACAGCGTTCCATGGGTTGAGAGACAGGGCCTTCTCTCTCCACTCTGCCATGACATTCTTCAACACAATAGTCCCAAGATCTTTCTCGGAGTCAGTGATCCATTCTGAACATGACCGTAATTATGGATAGGGCAAAGACTGATAGGTACAAATAGTAAAATGAGGAGTAAGGGAAGAGAGATGGGAATTAGTTCCCATCTCTCTTGCCTTACTTATTGATTTACTATTCTAGTAGTTACATGGTATATGATATTTCACTTAATTTATTCATTTCAGTTCCCTATGACTCCCATGTTCTTTTCTCCTTATAACAACTTTATACAATGTTTTTACTTTTATTTCACAAATGAACAAACTGAGAGGTTACAAAATTTAAGAAATATGCTAAGGGTCACAGAGTTAAGTGGCAAAATAACATTTAGAATGCTGTGAATCTGTAACTTGACAACCTGAGTTTCTTGTACTTAAAAAAAATAATAAAATAAGAGAGGAAGATGCCTTATCTTAGAACAAACTTTCTTTACTTGAAAATGCTAGTGTGTCCAAGAAATAAGACATAAAGACATGCATATGCATAATCCATAGAGAAAAGTTTGGAATATATATTCATATTGGTTATCTCTGAGTCGTAGAATACGGAGAGAAGGAGAAAAACAATTTCACATTTTATTCTATATTTTTATTTTATTGGAATATTTTATTTTCATAATGTATTATTATGGTACTACTAGAATTTAAGAAATCAAAAGAAAATGGAATTTCCTGTTCATCAGAACACATAGCTCTGAATTAATTTGGCTAAGAATTGTCAAGATTTTGAAACAAATTTCCTTAACAATAAGGTACAAGGCTTCCATTGCCACATTCAACTTTATTATTAATCTGCTTAGCTAAATCCTGCCCTGAGGTATTAACAGAGAATATGGATTATGGATGGATGGAATCCGCAATTTTC